TGTCTGCGACACATGTCGGGAGCGCAGAGCTTGGGACAAGCCTGGGCATACTGTTACGCCCTCCACCGCACTGCCAGGCAAATGTAATGAAGAAGTGGAATGTGTTCCGATGTTCTACAAACAGGAACACAACATCTTCCATATCATCGATCGCTGTATACGATATGCCATTGGGATTGAGATACCAGACAAGACTATGACGAGCATCCGTGATGCATAGCATCAGTGCTGGATGCATCTTGGACCTACAAAGGTACTCTACTCCGTTTTATGGACCTTGAAACCTTCGGCGTAAAAAACCTTCTTCTTTTTTTCGGGAACAGCACGACGGTCAAGCCAGAGGTTACTTGCCAACACGGCAGCGTGCAAGAAGCAATAAATCATCGCTTCCCTCGACATCAACATGGCCTTCCTGAAACGATTGACCTATCAGGAACTTGCTGAAGCTACTGATGAAAGAGAAAAAAAACGTGTGGTGCGTTACACTCTGCCGCCTGGATCGGCCACAGTGCTCCGAATTCTCCCAGGATTCGACACTACGAGGAGTCAAAGCACTGCCTGCAGTGCTTGAAACCAGGCACGGGCACCAAAGACACACCGCGGGCTTTTTTCCTAAGCTCAGAAGGACCACCAGAAGTTTTGGTCTCCGACCCACGTCCTACGACGAGGAGTTCGAGACGAGCAACAACTTGCTCACGGCCAAACATGTCGATGATATCAATATGGCCGGCACAGAAGACACCATCGACAAGTCTGTCAAGTGCGAAGAAGATACTTTTGGTAAGTGTAAGCTCAACAAACACACATACACCAATTGCGCTGTGATATACACCGAGGATAAGGACGGCAATGTCTCTTTGGACCAAGATGAATACATCAGACAGCCCCGTCCTATACAACATCCTAAAAGTACCGGCGCCGACGCTGACGCTCAGGCATCCAAGATGGTTGCAGTCATGTTCGTCAGCCACAGGGTCGCGCTGGCGTATGCATTAATCACCCAGGTGTGGTTGATGGTGTATGTTGTATCCCTACAGCGTGTCCAAGCACCGACCAACATCCAAGTGCGACGACTGAACGCAATCACCAGGAAGCTAGAAATGCCTGCCCAAAGAAGATCGTCTATCAGGCGATGACTCCTACGGGCGAGGTCAACCTGCATAGCGACTCAGGATACCGACGCCTGAGTGGAGACGCCGACGACGACGTCAAAGGCTATGGTTTTCGCGGGGCAAACCTGCTACGACGTGGAAACACGTCATCCGGTAAGCCTGTCGTTCACTTGATCGACGCGTACTGCAAGTCTCACCGCTTGCAGGCCGGCTCGAGCTATTCAGCAAAAACTCTAGCAGCAACCCAAAATTTGGAGGATTGTTACCCCGCGGTTGTGACTCTGCACGAGCTCCACGCAGGGCCGCTCACGCCCACTCAGTTGAAAGATATACTTGAGTTGGGTGGCCTGAGCATCAAGGTCGCTTTGACCATAGATGCTGAGGCTGTTTTTAAGCCCTTGTCAAGCAAAAACTTGAAGAAGCCGACTGAGTGTACCCTTTTAGGACACATCAATTGGATACGACAGATGATGGAACGTGGAATCGTGCACAGCATCCAGTGGTGCGACACCCGCGATATGACCGCGGATGGTCACACCAAGGGGAGCATCGACAGAGAAATGCTCCTACAAGTCATGGGAGGTATACAGGCCTTCAAGCATGACCTGAAGAGACATACTCCATATCGGGCCGGCCAGACATCTAGATCTGACGCCGCCTGAGGAGTACTTCAAGTACAGAATTGTACAAGCAAGGCAACTTGCGAGCGGGATCACTTCCATCTGCCCCGCCTCATTTTCTGTCCTTGTGTACATTAGCTGCTGTGCCTGCTGTATATGGGGCGACGGGCTCACGCTTCGTCCCCCTCCCCCCCCCGACTCTAAAGCGAGCTGAGGGACGTAAGGAGTGGAAGCGAGCGTGCGCCCGCGGCCGCGCCGGCTCAAGCGGCTGGCCGCCCAAATATGACTGTGCCTCACCGCGAGGCACACAATCACTATCGAGACCAAAAGGGTCCTCCTATTGCTTAAGATGGCACATCCTCTCCTACTGGGACTATCGTTGCTACAGTACAACAGAGCGGGAGCTTGGCTTCGCCTAAGGCGAAGCTGCTGGCTGGGCTTCCCAGCCCCCTTCAAACTTGGTGTTCCTGGGTGCCGTGAGTTCATGGGTTCTTGGTCCTCCTGGGTTCCTGGGTTCCTGAGTTCCTGGGTTCCTGGGTTCTTGGGTTCCTGGGTTCCTGGGTTCCTGGGTTTTCGGGCTCGGTGTTTCTAGGATCCTGGGTTCTAGGGTTCCTGCTTTGCCGGGTTTTGTGTTCGTGGGTTGCCGGTTTCTCGGGTTCTTGAGATCCCGGGTTCTTGGGTTCCTGGGTTGCTGGTTTCCTGGGGTCCTGGGTTCTTGGGTTCCCAGGTTCCTGGGTTTGACGATGATGATGATGATGATGATGATGATGATGATGATGATGATGATGATTATTATGATGATGCTGAAGATGCTGATGATGGTGATGATGACGGTGATGATGATGATGATGATGATGATGATGATGATGATGATGATGATGATGATGATGATGATGCTGATGCTGATGCTGATGCTGATGATGATGATGATGATGATGATGATGAAGCTGCTGATGATGCTGATCATGCTGATGATGCTGATGATGTGATGACGATAGCGACGACGATGCCGATGATGATGACGACGAAAATAAAGATGAAGATGCGGATGGTGGTGATGGTGATGCTAGTTGTGCTGATGATTACACCATGGTATTGATGGTGATGGTGCTAGTGGTGCTGCTCATGACAATCACAAGGGCGATGACGACGATCGGTGGACCCGTGGCCTGGTGGACCAGTGGACCGGTGAACCGCGGTGGACCGAAGGACTGGTGACCGGTGGACCGGTGGACTGGTGGACGGAGGAACCGGTGGACCGGTGGACCGGTGGACTGGTGGACCGGTGGACCGGTGGACCCGTGGACCGGTGGACCGGTGGACCGGTGGACGGGTGTACCGGTGTACCGGAGTACCGGTGGACCGGTGGATCGGTGGACTGGTGGACCAGTGGACTGGACTGGCGGACCGGTGGACCAGTGCACATGGACCGGTGGACCAGTTGATTGGTGGACCGGCGGACCGGTGGACCAGCGGACCGGTTGACGACGAATGGACCAATGGACGACCGGTGGACCGGTGGACCAGTGGACCGGTGGACCGGTCGACCGGTGGACTGGTGGACTGGTGGACCAGTGAACCGGTGGACCGGCGCATGTTTTCCACCATTCTGCCTCCTTGGAAGCGCGCGCCTGACCCGAACATATAGTATATCCATCTTGTAGTTCATCGTTTCCCGAGCGGTGTGGCCAGAAAGCGCACGCCACGACGCATATACTAGAAGATTTCTCGGTGCGCGCGTCGCCCCTGGGGGGACGAACCACAGATAGTATAAGTATGTTGGGGTGATGCCGAGTGGTGGTTCTTTCTTCTCTTGCGAACTACAGTACGGGCTCGACCACAAGAGACCTTCCACAAGAAGCCCAACCCCGAGACCCCAGGACGTCTATCGACTTTTGGCGTGGGAGCGTCACGCTTTCCATGGCAAAACCATCGAGACCCAGGAAACCCAGGGCAGCCTGGAGGCAAGCAGGGTGCTTCCTGGCATGGGCCCCCACTGGTAGGAAGGGAACCGAAACGTGCGGCCATTCTCGGGACCCGAGCCCGTAGCAGGAGGATCGCCACTCCAGCCATCAGCGGCCCTGACCTGTGGCAGGCCCAGGATGGACAAGCGCGTTCCACTACTCGCAAATGAACAACTCGCAAATGGACTGGATCCGCCGCGGGGGATTCACGATATACGATATAGAGGAAGAACTTGTTTTCTGGACGTTTGCGAGTAGGCACTTTGCAAGCAGTGGAACGCGCTCGGCGACAGGAGTCCTCTCACGATTCTCCGGGGGGCGCTCGCCACAACTGGTAATGTGGACCAAGTACCTGCACGCGCTCACGCCTCAAAATCGCCCCGCGCTTCGCTTCTGAAGCCGCCATGCAGAACCGCATTGGCGACGAACGTGGCTGGCGCCATTTCGCTGCGAATTTCGCCCTCGTTGCTCAATCTTAGTTCATTCCTGCCAGCAGCAAGCAAAACCTGCTGCTGTATTCCGCCTACGCGCCCGACGGCGTTTGGCTCCTCTGTCTGTCTGCCTGGCTCACGCCTTACTCTCTGACCCCCATCCTCCTCGAATATCGTCCCTGCCTGGTGGTGGAAAGAAGGAAGACTCGCCATCGCTCGGACGTCCATTCCCCGTGCACTTTTCGGCTTCGTGCGTGTGCTGGGGCGACGCGACAGCGCTCCCCGGATCAGAGCGCGGGAGGAGCGAACGAGGTGGGTACGCGAGCAGACCCTTACCATCCAGAGTACGGGGATTGTTTCACGAAGCAAGCTCAAGCTTTGATCCAATCTGACAGAAGCATCTCGATAGGAATCGGCCTCTCGTCGGTAGCTCCCGCCACCGACACACACACACACACACACAGACGATCATCACCCCAACCACCTCTGCAGCCTTGCTGCTATAGTGCACCGCTCTTGACCGAGAGTGGTGTTAACAAATCGTGCGAAAAACGCGAGCAGGCTCTCACCATTCAGTCCAGGGCTCCTCAACAGACCTCAGGTGGTGCGTCCCTGGAGAGATCCGAGACGCTAAGAAAATCATGCTGGAGATACCCATCAGCTCCGCAGCATGGGTTCGAATCGTCCGCCGCACTTCGAAAATCTGTGAAGTCACCATCCCCGCCCCCTGTAGCTGCATGCACGATGTAGCCACTGTGATAAAGCTAATCTGCGAGGGATGAAGCTGATCTGCGATGGGGGCTCGCGAAACGAGAAGACACAAGATCAGAGCAAAGGCCTCGCAGAGAAAATAACGCTGGGGGGAAAGGAAGCCTCGCCACACAACATATTGTTGCTGAGGTCGAGCGCGCGCAACATTCCTCCACCACTGATAGATCGCCCGCTCTCTCTAATGACAATAAGACAGCCAAAAGATGGCAAAGACTTGCTACTCATACCCGTGTGAAATTCTGACCACACAACTTCAACGCAAAACTATGTAACCGCTCGTACGGTGGCGTGTACGGCGATCTGGCATTTCCACAACAGCATGCTCATCATCCCGAGAGAACGGGCAATGCAGTGTCCACACAAACCAGCACCGCATCATCATAAATGCTCGTAGCCCTGCCGCATTGGCCGTGCGTGCAAGTCTGCGAGAGCTGGGATCTGGACTGAAACAGGGTTGTTGGTATCGCCTGTCTCGGCTGTGCCCATCAGTGGGGAAACCACAAAGAACCGATACCTCTACCCCCTGAACCTCTCCCGGGGTGCGTTCTGATCAGGATTTCGAAGCGAATCCAGCGGTGGCGACGAGGGCCTCCCAGGAGGACTAAAGAGGGAAAAACGGGCCGAGGATAAATATGGGTACCTTTTTCCTCCTCCGAATCATTCTACAAAGGGTCCAAAAGAGTCCTCGACCTTAACACTGTTGAAAGAGAAATGTTTGCACTATCTCGGGTTGAGCTGCGAATCGGATGGTACGGCTCCTCCCCCGCGCCTCCGACTTTAATATTGATAGTTATGACATCTCCCGGGGCCGTTCGAAAAACAAAGATACATCCCATTTCAGCGTGCGCGTCCGCTCTCAATGTTGAGGTCGGGGGCGGGGGGGTCGTATCATCAATTGCCGTGCCGCCCAGGTGGTGCAGACTTGTTTCTTTCAACCGCAATGCCCCGTGGCATGTTGGCGTCCCCTCGACGAGACAGGAACTCTGGAGGGCAATCCCCGACGGCGGCCCGCGCCGCTCTCTGGCAGCGGCGAGGAGAATAAGCCCAGAGGTGCTCCTCCAGCGCGGGGGGCACTCGTGCAGGACGGCAGGTGCCAGACTTGGGTCGGGCATGTCCCCCTACAGAGGGGATTTTGGGCGGAAAATGAAGAACGTCCCCAAAATGTTCAAAAAATGTCCCAGAGTACTGAAAAATCGTCCCCCGACTATTTTTTGACTATTTTGGAAGATTCCTCCTGTAGAGGGACACGCCCGACTTAACACTCGTGCAGGACGGCAGGTGCCAGTCGCAGTTTGCAACATGTCAGCACTCACTCGTCAACAAGCGTCTCCCAGAAACAAAGTACGCGCATGCCAGGACCACTCGCGCGCGTTTCGCACGCTCGGGTTCCAGCAAGCTTCGGCTCTTGGCAAACTCACGGCAGCATGCATCAGGGCACCCGCAAAATGGCAGGAGATGAGGAAGTAGCAAGAACGCAAACCTAGCAGAGACGTGTTACAGGAAAGGAAAGCATAGACCGATGCAAACTCACTGCCGAGCCACGCGATCGAAGTACTGGAGATTCCAGATATGACCTATACTCAGAACCTGTCAGAAGGACGGGCGGCAAGGACGCAGGACCCTTGGAGGCCGAAGTTGGGACATGTTGGGCAGCGGGCGGGCCAAAACCCCTGGGACGCAAGGGTACCCTACTACCCTCGTCAAGAATAACCTCAAAAATGGGGAACACGCCCCTGCGATGTCGGCGCACCCTTCAACGTCGATACGACGCCCCTCCAATGTCGGGGCCGGGGCAGAGGTGGTCTGACCCGGAACGACTCGGAAGTTCGATGATGACCGACATTCGAGGGGCGGTGCACACAAGTACCTCGCAGTCATCACTGCTCTGTCCAGTATCTCCCCACAAACAGTTCAGCCACATAAGACATGTTTGAGGCTAATTTTGACGAGGGTTGTAGGAAAGGCGAGTGTACTTATCATGGTTATTGACTGTAAGCATGCAGCGCCCCGTAGGGTTAAAGGGGACCATGGACACGCAAACAAACACACACACACACAGATCCCAGGATCCCCCATATTTCCGCATATTTTCTGGTTCCTCGTCTCCCCCCCTACTTCGAATATTTCCCAGATTTTCCTGGGAATCGACGATTCATCGTGTCTGTGTGTGTGTTTCTTCCCCTCCTCAAAAGTTCACTCAATGTGATGGGCTGGAGGTCTTCTTGAAGCTCTGCTGTGGCCGTCTGGGGGCTACCCGGATGGCGTTCTGGAGTCTCCTCTGACTCAGGGGCGCGCAAACATGGATCGATGCCCTCCCCAAAATGCAAAACTGTGCCGCCTCGTTCGGCGGCGGGAATCTGCGATTCCCCATGGAAACGGAATTCGTCGCTAATCCATGCCCCCTTGATCCATGATTGCGATCGCCTGAATCTTGGGGAAATCAGAAGGTACCCATACCGCTACTCCCCGGACCTCTCCCAGGGTGCGCTCTGACCAGGCTTTCGAGGCGAATCCAGCGGTGACGATGAGGGAGGCCCAGGAGGCCCAGAAAGGGGAAAACGGGCGGAGGGTAGAGGTATGGGTACCTTTTCCTCCTCCGAAATCTTGGCAGTCACTCAAGCAGTCCGGAGAGCTCCTGGAGCTTCTGACGCAGCCCACAGCACGCTCCGTCGACGCTGCACCCGTCCCCAGACGCCCAGACGCCCCCCCCACAGAAGAGAGGCCCCCCAGGGATGCACGGCTGGGATTGCATTGGAGCCTCGTCGAAGCTCCAATGCAATCCCCCACAGAAGTGGCCCCCAAAGATGCACGGGCGAGATTGCATTTAGCCTCTCGACGAGAAGCCAAAGACATTCGTCAAGAGGTCTCATGGTTCCGCCTGCTGGGCTTGCCACTTGGCGGCCTTCGGACGGGCTGGCCCCGAGGGGCCCCCAAGACTGCCCCACGGGAGAAAAAGACAGTCCTGAGACGGCCCAGAAGAAACCGCACAAGAGCTCCTCGAGAAGTCGGGGCGAGAGGTGTCTCCTGTGCTGGCCTCCTGGGCGGTGCTCGAAAGATCGCCACGCAAAGTAACTACTCCGCTGGCACGGTGGCGGATCTGCCGCTGGCATCTGGACCATACTCGAGCCTCGCCCCCGCTGCCAACCACCTCCCCCTCCTCCTCCTCCCCCTCCTCCTCCTCCTCCTCCTCCTCCTCCTCCTCCTCCTCCTCCTCCTTATGCTTACTCTGTGCCCCCCACGCCGCAGTCACCAGTGAGGTTCCCCCACAGCGGGGCCTGCCTCTCGCCTCCAGTGCGCCTGCGTGCAGCCGGTCGCCCACCGCCCACCGCCCGGGAAAGCCCAGGAAGCTCGTCTTCCGCCGGCGGCGGGACGGTTGCCGAGCAGCGCCGTGGCGAGGGCGCGTGCCCCGCTCACGTTCTGCCTCTCGCCGATGCGATTGCTCGAGAGGTTGAGCAGCGACAGCTGGCAGTCCTGCCGCCGGGCCCAGATCCGACCCGACCCAGAGCCACCCAGCCGCTCCTTTCCGCCTCCTCGCCCTCCTCCTGCTCCCGCACCTGCTCTTCCTGGTGCTCGTAACCGTCACTGCCGAGCCCTGCCTCCTCCTCCGCCTCCTCCTCCCTCCTCCTCCTCCTCCTCCTCCTCCTCCTCCTCCTCCTCCTCCTTTTCCTCCTCCAACTACTCCCCCTGCTCCTTCTCCTCATCCCCCCTCCTTCATCCTCCATCGCTTTTCCTTACAAACATCTTCTCCCTGTCGCCCCCCCAGGCGTGTCGGCAGAGCGGGCTGGGCCTTTCGCCTGAGACTTCCTCACCTCACCAGTTGTAGTCCTAGAGCTTGAAATTTGCGCCAGGTTCCCACATGGAGGGTGGGTCGCTTTCAAAATGTAGCTCTCGCCTTAGCGCCGCGCGCATTCGTTTGAACAAGTCTGCAACAGTTTATCGGATGGAGGGCGGAGCCTTTCCAACATGTGGCTCTCGCCTCAGAGTCCCGCACCCTCATAGTTCGCATTAATTTCACAGATGGAGGGCGGGTCGTTCTCAAAATGTGGCTCTCGTCTTCGCGCCGCACATATTCGTCGTAAAAGTTTGCTACTGTTTCAAGGTCTCTTATGGCTGAAGTCCCAAGAACGGCTCTGTTCAGGATTGTCAGGACGCAACACTTGAGTTGATTCGCTGTGTCGAAATCCCATGAATACTGTTCTGGCACGGCTTGAATTGTCAGGACGCAACAATCACGTTGATTCGCGGCGCTGAAATCCAAGACATTGTCTTTTGACACGATTGAAGATTATCGAACGGTTGCCTTCTAGTGGGGCACTTCCCGTAATGAAAATCAATTCCTGCGGGGGCCTATGAAGGGGAAACTTGGAGGGAGGGGTCACTGCGACATCGCTGATGCGATTTGGGTTTACGCTGGTCTTCCTCCACTCCTCACGCTCCCTCCCTCCCTCCCTCCTAGTCGCCACGGCCCCGGAGGTTCCCTGAGAGAAGGACCAGCACCCCCGCAGGGGACCCCGGGGGCAGGCTGGAACAGAGAATCTGCCTGCAGGGCCGCTACCTGCGGCGACGCCAAGCGAGTCGCTTGAGTTCGACTTCGCGCACGCTGGGGAGGAGGAGGAGGAGGAGGAGGAGGAGGAGGAGCAGCAGGAGGAGGAGGCGGAGGAGGAGCAGGAGGCGGACAAGCAGGAGGAGGCCGTAAGCAGCGGTCGCAGTGACGCGGAGGCAGCGGTGACCCACCCAGCCCAAGGGCCCACCTCCTCGTCATCCTCTCTCTCTCCCTCCTCGTCCCTCGTCCCTCGCCTTGACCAGCCAGCAGGCATCACGGTAGTAAAGGAAGAGACACGCGTCGTTCACAATCTGCACAGTGGAACGCAAACGCCGAGCACAGAGGCGACCAGAAACGGCTCAAGTACTATGTTGATTGAATTCAACCAGCCCTCTGCGCGTAGGTGGTCCAACGATATCATGCCTTCTCCTTCCAAAACCCTTCTGTTCTTTTGGGAGGGATACCCTCCCCCTCCTCTCCCCGAGAATTTTCGGGGGGGTTCGCGATGAGTCAGGGGGGCCTTCTTCGCCCAAGATGGCTCCGAGAGGGCCCCCAATGCGCCAAGATGATCCCCAAGATGGCTTTAAATTGCTTCCGACATGCCACCACAAGACTCAAGAGAGCCACAAGACGGTTCCAAATATTCTCGGAACCCCGAAGGACCCTCGCGAGACGCCCAAATCCTTCAAAAACCTGCAGAACTCGATGATCTGCGCCTTCTCGCACGTTCGCGTCGGAGGGTCTTCTGAAGCCTGAAGATGGCCCCAACACGGCCCCAGGAGAGGCCCAAGAGGCCTCAAAGACGGCCAACGATCGCCCAATATCTCCCCTAATTGGCGGCGCGCACAAGGGAGAGGGGAGGGCTTCTTAGAAGGAGGCTGCTTCTTAGAAGGCGCCGGCCTTACATATGCAGAAAAGGCCCGCACCTTCTAAGAGGCAGGGGTGCTTCCAAGAAGCCCCCTCCCCCCCCCTCTGCGCGTGGCTGACCTAAGAGGGCCCCAAGAAGGCCCCAACTGACGATTTTGAGCGCCTTTGAAGGTGACCTCCACTGAGGACCCCTCGTCTTTTGATCGACGCCCTCGAAGATAGCCCCAAGGAGACCTCCAGGGCTCTCCAGAGGCCCCGGAAAAAAAGCCCCACGCGGGCCCCCATTTCCCCCCAGAAGAGCCCTACGACCCTCGTCAAAATTCCCTGGAAAATATGGGAAGTGAGGGGGAAGACGAAAACCCAGAAAATATGGGGACACATGAGAAGTGAGGGAAAGACGACAACCCAGAAAATATGGGGAAGCATGGGGAATCCTGGGATTGAATCCTGGGATTCGTGTGTGTGTGTGTTGACTTGCGGGTCCTGGGCCCCTTTAGCCTTACGGAGCGCTGCAGGCTTACAGCCAAAAATTATAATCAAGGACACGCGCCTTTCCTACAACCCTCGTCAAACTTAACCTCAAAAAGGTCTTGCGTGGCTGAACTGCTTGCGGGGAGATACTGGTCAGAGTTGCGGTGACTGCGAGGTACTTGTATGCGCCGCCCCTCCAATGTCGGTCACCATCGAACTTCCGAGTCGTTCCCGGTCAGACCACTTTTGCCTTGGCCCCGACGTTGGAGGGGCGTCGTATCGACATTGAAGCGCGCGCCGATATCGCAGGGGCGTGGTCGCCATTGTTGAGGTTGATTTTGACGAGGGTAGGAGGATTTCAGGGCTCCCCGCCGTAGCCCCAAGAGGGGCCCGCTCGGCCAGCTCGCGCGCATTCGTGCAACGGCCATCTTCAATCTGGGCCTCGTTTCTGAATGGGCTGGTGGGAATACGAGAAGCGTCACCAATGACAGATACAGTTAACCAGGATAAGAAGGCTGCACGGTAAGGATCCAGCAAGGGCCTTGGAACGCCATGTTGAGGATTTCCGCGCGGACCGCGGCCGAATTCCGAAGGATGTAAGGGCACCCTGACGCGCCGCCATCCTTGCCGAACGTTGGCCAGCGAAAGTTGGCAAGGATGCGCCGAAGGGGCAAGGATGCAAGGGTACCCTGGTCAAGTTGCCCCATCCTTACTATCATGGTTGACTGTACAATATGAGGCCATACTGTGGTTGCCCATGCAAAGATGCGCACAAGCACACATGTGCAGTAACGATTAGCCATCGCACCTCAGTCGAGCCAATCACGCCCGTGACTTGTGAAACGGCCAACCACCTATGTTACATCACAACTGAATCGTCCGAGGAATGGCTAGCCGAAGTTCGAAAACATTACCAATGGCCTTGACCTTTGCACTACTTTCAAGCACTGGGTCTTTTGGAGGTCGGGGTCCGAAATGCTCTTTGGGTACTGCATCAAAGGATGGAGGACCCCCGCATGCACTAATACCAAGGCAGACGTTCACGTTCGCCTGAAGTCTCAAGACTAGAATGCTGCAGCTGTGCGAGAACTAGCTCTGACGAGTCCACGGACATGACAAGTTCGGCTACAAGATCCTCCAAGTTCGCCAAGCCCTTATTAGCTCCAGCTTTCTAGTTTCACCACACATTTGAATGACAACGGGGCTGGATAAACCCTGACAACACTCAAGGATGACAGGGCGAGCGGCAGTTGAGTTCTTCTTTGTACGAGGAGGTTTCAGAGCACGACGTCAACTTCGACACCGTCATATAGCAGAAAGGTGCATGGCATCGATAGGGAAGCACCCCCCTCGCGAGAGAAATCCTCACATCCTTCATGCTTGTCGCGGCCACGGTATTCGAATAAAGCAAATGGAAGCACGTAAGTTTAACAAGCCTCAAAGAGCCATCAAGCTCACAGGTGCTTATGCTTAACGTTCGCTATGCCGTTATGGCCTCAGCAAGAGGGGATCACGCCATATGCAGCATCGTCGTCTCGAAGGGACCCCTCGCATCGTAACAGACACAAGCATCAAACACCTGTTCGACTGTGAATCGTGCAGTGTTGCAATGCCACTGCTGCCTTCGGACCGGCAACATCGCGGTCAGAACTGTCGCTCAGCGACGCCACCCGAACCGTATAATCTACAAAACCACCTTCACGTTCTGGCGCTACATGCGCAACCCACTGCCAGGGCGGCCACCATCTCGGTTTGGGGATCACAGCGCTCACAGCCGCAGACCTGCCGCGAACGCGGGCCTGCCCCTCCACCAGTGCGCAAGCTCGTTTGCATTACCACGCCTTCGATGTGCGCAGCTGTGGGTGCAGGAGAAGCCTCCGAGGGCAAACATCGGCGCGCTTCGTCGGTCGGCCGACGTGGAGGGCTCGCGCAGGGCCACAGACGCCGCGGGGGCGACACGGCATGGGGGCAAGGGACAACGCGCCCCGTCGCGCGGCGGGCGTCGAACCTGCAGGGAGCCACAGGTGCAGGCCAAACGGGCATCTCACTGGCGCTGGCCCAGGCGGGGTGCCGGGCTCGCCGCAGGAGGAGGGCGCGGGCTGGCGGAGGGGGAGGGAGGAGGAGCCTTGGGAGCGCGAAGGGGCAGGGAGAACAAAGGGAGGAGAAGGAGGAGGAGGTGGAGGAGGAGGAGGAGGAGGCTTCCTCCCCCTCCGCCTCTGGCGGCGGAGGGGGCAGGCTCGCTCGGACCACGCCGCGCCAACCCGCCCAACAGGCAGCGAGAGGGCAGCGCAGCTGCGAGGGAGGGGGGGCGGCGACGAAGGGGGTGGTGGGGCGGCCTGGCTGCGGCGATGGGGCGGTGGGGCACAGGACAAATGCTCGTTGACGGGGGGGCTATGATAGAGGCCTCCCAGATGGGGTCGGAATGGGCGGGGTCGAAGGCGACGGATCGCGCCGCATCGCAGATATATCAACGATGCATCGGCGATGCACTGGCGATGCATCGTCGGCGTCGGCGATGCGTCGGCGATGCGTCGGCGTCGGCTGGGCACAGATCAGTTAGATGCTCATTCTGGGGACCTTCTTGGAGCCACTCGCTCCACTCGTACGTCGAAGCTGCGTCGAACGTCCATCGCCTCGAGCCGAGTTCGCGTCGAACCTGATTCGAACCTGAGTCGAACCTGAGTCGAACCTGAGTCGACCTTGAGTCGAACCTGAGTCGAACTTGAATCGAACTTGAATCGAACTTGAGGTGGGCCCCAGAATCCCCAAAAACGAGCATCGAAGGGCAGATGCTCGTTGAGGGGGGCTATGAACGAGGGGGGTAAGTTTGGGCTCGCGGGGGCAGTTTAGGGACCGTCCGGGGCC